AAAGATTCATTTATTTATTTGAAAGGCAGAGTTAGAGAGAGAGAGAAGACAGGCAGACAGAGAGAGATTTTCCATCTACTGGTTCAACTCTCCAAATGGCTACAATGGCCAGGGCTGGGCCAGGCTGAAGCCAGGAGCCAGGAGCTTCATCCAGGTCTCCCATGTGGGTGCAAGGGCTAACATACTTGGACCATTTTCCACTGCTTTTCCAGGCACATCAGCAGGGAGCTGGATGGGAAATAGAGCACCCAGGACTCAAACCAGCACCCAAATGGGATGCCAGTGCTGCAGAACATGGACAGAATCGCCCCCAGGTTTGCTTTTATAGAACATATTTCTGATATTTACAAACAGAAGGAAATCCAACTGCCAGATGATGTTTCCACTAAGATTTGTGGCAAAAAAAATTATCAAAGTAAAATAATAGGAAGACATTACACTACATGTGTCAGAGAAAATCTGAAAACTATGTGCTAAGAAAGCAGTTTATATAGCTAGAAATAAGTTAGGGTTATTAACACAAAGAATTATACGTGTAGGAGTGAGTGAATGATAGAAATCTCAGAGCTGGAGAAATATCAATCCATTTTGGTTTTTTTGTTTAATGTTCTTGGTAACAGGTCTATACTGGGGAGAGAAATGTGGGTATAAAATGCAGTTTATCACTGAAAATCTAGTATAAATGATGTCCACAACATCTCCCTAAATATGCATTTCAAGAGAAAAACTGTAATTACTGAAGCAATTTTTAGAGATCTTTCTTCCAAGCTCCTCCACAAACATTACCATTCTATATAATATTCAACACTTCTCCCCACTCATGTTATAAATGTTATATCCATAAGCATCAATGCAAGAGAAAGAATTCTTCTATCTTTATGTCCCTATTTCAGATGGGTTTAAACTCCGTTAAACTGCACTGATTTCTTTTGGAACTTAAGTCTGGGGAATTTTGCTAATTTGTATAACCAAGAAGATTAAAAAAAAGTTATAAGAGCACTCTATATTCAGAAATACCAAATAATGGTCACTTAAAAACATTCTACAAAGTCCTCCCAAAAAATGTTTTTTAACCCAAGAACCAGACAAGACATTTATCCAGAGTCTGCTATGAGTCTTACAGAGAATGCAATACTTACAACAAATATTCACAAAATTACATGTCTAGTGCAGCAGTCTCAACTCTGGCACATCAGAATCACTGTGGTAATTAAAAAAAAAAAAAAAAAACAAAAAAAAAACACACCACAGTCCCAGGGTACTGGCCCCAGAGGTTCTGAATTACTTCATACTGTAATGGAGTGTGGGCATTAGCATCTTATTTTCTAAAGCTCTCTAGGTGATTCTAATGTTCAGCCAGGGCTGAAAACCACTGATTTATATTTTTAATAATCAGTCTTGATAAATTTATAAGAGCAAGGAGCTGCCACTCAAAATACCCAACATTCAGAAAATATTGCTTGCATTGCAAAATACTGCTGCATATTAAAAAAAAAAGTTGAATCTAGAATTCCATATTAGACATGCTCAGTATTTACCAACTTCACAGGGATTTTTGGGTTTTATCTGCTCACAACAAAAAGAGGTTGCATCTAGAGTTCATCTTAAGTTGGGAGGGTAGGGACAAGGATGTTGTGAGAAAGCCTTAATGAGGCCTAAGCTCAAAGAAGACACAGTGCACACTTGTGTACAACAATGTTGTAGAAATGTGAAGCAAGTTGTCAATCCATTACTTACAGATCTTTTGCAGAAAGTGTAGGAAAGAGTTGATTTGACTAACAAGCTTATTTAACCCCTCCAGAAAAAGTGTATCCCCAGTCTCTGCTCTAAATGAAGTCGCAAGTTCCTGTATTAAAGAGCATGGTCCCCAAAGTTCCAGGCCAGGAAGGGGGGCAACATTTCTGGTTGCATTTTAAGCATCTTCAACTTTCTAATTTGAGGGTCAAACAACCTCCAGATCTAGACATGCTCTAGCTTCGTATCCCCATCAAATAAGAATTACAAGACACTCATAAAACCAGGGAACTCAAGATGGAGTAAGTCTGCCTTTAGGTCATGAGATTTGATCTGAAACTATTTTGCCTCAACTGAAATCACCAATTGGGCAGCTTTACAACTTTGCAATCTTTCAGTATCACTACAGCTCTTCCCAGCAGAAACAGGATCATATTACTGAGCTTAACTAATTTCGCTGAACAGATCACAAGCCTGTCGAAAGACACCATGAACGTTTAATGCTTCACACATCTTAAAACCTCAAAACTTTGGCAGCTCGAAGGAAAAACCATCCCTGGGGTAAATCAAAAGCAGAAAATTCTACTCCCACATATTCTGAGGCTAAAGAATGTGAGAGAATTTTTTAAATGCCTTTCATAAAGCCAAAAACTAAGATCAATCACCAGAAAGTACTTAGAAGTTGTTTGATTTAGATGGTAGTATGCTGTGTTTTAATACTACACTTAAAACTATCTACACTTTTCCCACAAATGTTAAGTATCTGATCCCGGGCCCCACTCCCTGCAGTTCTGGGAAGTCTAAGAAGTAGCAAATCAAATTTCCTACAGCATCTCCCCACATGGGTTCTTCCCTGCAGAGCCCGGCAAATAACCTTGCAGGGGTATCCCTTAGTCCACTGAGCAACTAGGGAAACCCAAGGTACTGTTTGTATGAAACTTTAAAGATATGCTTTCCTTTCAAGGGTTCAGATTTGCTTTAAGCTTAGAAAAACAACTTTATAAAGAATTTTTTTCCCATTTGAATTGGATCACTAAATTAACTGTTATTAAGAGCCTAGGAGCAATTTTGACAAATCTTTTTTCTATTTCTTACTGAAATTGTCACTACAAGGGCTCATAAATTCTGCTATATGCTTTCTTGTGTATGTTAGATGCATAGAAATTACTTTCACCGTTGATGTGGGATTCTTGCTCACCCACAAAAGTTAATTAAATCATGTTTTTTTCTGTTAAGTAGGTAAGTATCCTTATTTAACAATCTTATGAGTATAATAAGCACCTACTATGTTCCTTTAAATAGCTTTCATGCATCCCAAGTATGTGTGCTTGTAACAGAGGGGCCTGTTTAAGTTATTAAAATCATCAGAGAACAGAAATCAAGATGGAGAAAACAAAGAGTCACCCTCTTCCTCAAGCCTAGCTTTTCTAATTTATTTTAGTTATTTTATTTCTATTTTTTCCCAAAAAATAATGTAGTTCATTTGCCTTGATCCTAAACAACTCAGTTTTACATATTGTGTTTGGATGAGATCTGTAACTGCAATGTTTTAAAAGTAGGAAATGCTCACATAGTCCATCACCCAGTATGAGTTAAAAGAATCACAAAGAATGCTCATATCCAATCCCAGAACACAAAGCAGTTACAACAGAAGGTAAAGAATTCGTGCCCAGCAAATACTGAAAAGCAGATTTCCCAAGAGTCGCAATAGTCCATTGGTTCAATAGAAACTACAACAACTGGGGTTAGGTTAGACAAGTGGTATTAGACTTCAGTGTTGGATGAGTCAATTTTATATCAGTTTCCAGACTGAGGCAAGGTTAACAGTATTTTCTAAACTGTTTTCTTTGTAGGGCAATATTTTAAACACTTAACACATTATACATTTTTTTTCATAATCAATGCAAACAGTTCATATCCACAATTCTAATATTAGGTCTAAGATGTAAACCAGATGAGTACATATTCTGCCTTATTTTTGTACACTGACAAAAAGTTTCAAACAAGTTATAATCCAATAAGATATTCCAATATCCAATATTTTGGCAATGAAAGCATTCTAAGATAGTCTATTGGAGATGAATGACTAATAATACATAAAATAATGCAAAAAAGAGTACTTTAACTGAAAGGTAGAAATGTGTCAGCAGACAATAAAACTGTGGGAAGTAGTAAACCTGCTACCTACAAGTGAAATACTCATTAGTTTAGAACTTATTTTATAGAGTTTTGTGATTTCTTAGCCATCAAAGGAAACTAGCATTTTATTAATTATAAAAATCATATTTAAAACCATCCTCTTGTAGCAAAGAAGATACATTTCACTGTTTTTCTTTCAACAGGAATATTTGTTGTTACAAGAAAATTTCATCAAATTGTGTGTTCTCTACTTCCTTAAATACCACTGAAGAAAGGCATTTATGGTCAGCCAATGATATGGGTACAATACCTATTTTCACTAAATTTTCTACTTAATCTTTAAAAAATTTATATCCAGACTTAAAACTATTTTATAAGTTAAAGTAGTTTCAAGTTCTCTATTAGTTACATATAAATCATCACTCTCATTTTAAGGAAAAGTCAATAAAGCAAATATATTCTACTTGTGCTTCAAGTAGGAAATCAAATCATAATGTAGTTACCACTGTTACAATTAAAATGCATACAATGCATGAAACACTTCATCAACTCAAGTACTACTTGAAGGTGTATACCAAGCTGTGTATCAGAAACGAACTTTGATAAGAATTAAACTTGCTGTTGAAGCTTAATTCTCAAGTGGGTATCTTTACCAAATTTCTCTCATTGTAGGTTGGAAAGTTTCACTGTCTCCTTAAAATATTTAACTCATAAAGGTGATTAAAGTGATTCCTGTGATTCTACATTTATTTTTCTATCAGCTGGTAATGACAGAAGTACATATTTTCCAAAAAGTTTCTGACTTAGTAATTAAACAAGAACCTAAAAGTAAGAGAACAACATACACCACTTTAGGTTTTATGTTTTCTTCCAACTTCATAAAGAAAGCACATTTTGATATACTGAAGATATAGCTGACCTTATCTTACAGTTGTAGGCTGTAATTCAAATAAACGACAAGACTTCAAAATGCATTAAAACGCTGTTTTGAAGTTTACATTGAAAGAAAACAAACAAACCTGTGAGTTAGAATTTTAAATACAACCCTAGAAACTAAGTGCAGCTCTAAAATAAATTATCCCCAAATAACAAATTCGCACAGAAAGAAGCAAGAGTGAATGGATTACCTTTACGTTAAAAGAGGCAACTTCCCTGGCTCTGTGGCCTGCAGGCGACTGCAGACTGCAGCAGCAACCGCTGTAACCGGCTGCAGGAGCGCAGCTCCACAGAAAGGCAGGGTTGGCAGGCGCAGCTCCCCAGAGCGGCGGGACAGGCTGAATGACAAGCACACGCAGAGAGCTCTGAATGAGGCGTGTTGGGGGCTGGAACTTGCTGTGTTTGCTCTCCTATAGGACAGGAGAGTTTTTTTCCCTGCTTAACCCCTCAGGGCAAGGTCTTAATAATGGTAACAGCTGGCATACAGAGGGTCTTGATCTGAGCACCAGGTCAGCAAGCCAGGATATGAAGGTGACATGTAATTTCTAGCCTTTTCCTGCTTCTACAGGGAAATTGCACAAAGGGCTGTTTTTAGTTATAACTTCCTTTGATCTTTTGGATTTAAAGTTACTTAGTAGATTAAAGCCATGTTAGCTGATATTATTTGCTTGCTTAGTCTAACTTAAGTGTTACAGATTCACTTTTCTGACACATCGGGCTACTACATTTAAACTAACACAAATAAACACCAATCTGTGTTTATTTCCAAGTTCCGGGGATTTTTGTGTTCTTTCACAAATGGCTCTTGAGGCCCTGCTTTTAGGGCAGAGAGTTCATAGTTTTAAGAGAACTTTGCTTTCCTCAAGAGGAAAGAATAAGTCAAAGAAGTGAAGTGTTTTTCTACAAATTTTCTAAACAAAACAAACAGCAGTTTGTTAAATGAACTTGACACTGCTTTTGATAAATGTATGGCACTGATGATGCCAGTATTTAAACCACAATCACAACACAGAAACCTTGTAAACACCTTCATACGAACGGTTTAAATTCACAAATGACAGAGGTGATGATTCACTGAAACCATGAAAGCAACTCTTCAGGATTCTGATAAGAAAAATACATAAAAAATTCTTTCAGCAGGATGTATTCATTAATTACATGAAGACTACACTTTCAAATATTTCAAAAGTGCAAAGGGAAAAAAATGCATAAAAATGGACTTCGACAAAATAAAACCTGTAGATCAGAGGACATTTTCAAGAAAGTGAAAAAATGGGCAGAATGGAACAAAATATTTATAACTCATATAGCTAAGGGTCTAGCAACCAGAATATGTAAAACAAAACAAAACCACCTTTGCTCAACTCAACAATAAAAAAAACAAACAACCCAATTTAAAAGAGGTAAAGACTTTGAATAGAAATTTCTCTGCAGAAAATATACAAATGGCCGACGCACTTGTGTGCCCATGAAAAGATGTTCAACATGATTAGCGACTTAAAATGCAAGTAGGGGCAGGCGCTGTGGCATAGTGGTAAAGCCATTGCCTGCAGTGCTGGGAGGCACCCCATGTGAGCACCAGTTCGAGTCCTGGCTGCTCTACTTCCATTCCAACTCTCTGCTACAGCCTGGGAAAGCAGTGGAAGATGGCCCCAGTCTTTGGGCCCCTGCACCCACGACAGAGACCTGGAAGAAGCTGCAGGCTCCTGGCTTCGGATCTGCGCAGCTCCGGCCATTGCAGCCATTTGAGGAGTGAACCAGTGGGTGGCAGACCAATCTCTCTCTTTGCCTCTGCCTCTCTCTAGTGAACCAGGGAGTGTAAGACCTTTCTCTCTCTAACTTTGCCTCTCTCTAACTCTGCCTTTCAAATAAACTAAATAATCGTTAAAAAGAAAAAAAAAGAAAAATTCAATAAAAAACTACTTCACATCCTCAAGTATGACTATAAAAAATAAAAGGAAAACTAACAAGTGCTGTCAAGGATAGCAAGAACCTGAAACCTTTACACACTGATGGTGAAATGTTCAATATTGTACAAAACAGCTTGGCAGTTTCTGAGGAATTAAACACAGAATTACTATATGTCCCAGCAATTCCATTCCTAGGTACAGATGATCCTCCCTGTTTTCCAAATCCATACTCACCATCATTTACTTGTAATCCCCAATAATCCCAGTGGTGCTTTCGCAGTCTTTCAGACATGTCAATGTTCAGGGGGTGAAAAATTTGGGTCAGCTGATGCGCATGCTCCCAGTTAAGGTCAAATGAGATGACACTCTTGAGGCTTGGCTCTCCTACTGTAAACAAATGGGCCTTTCACAGTCTACTTAATGTCATGTTTGACACATTTTTTGTGTGTGCTGTTTGTTGATGATTTCATCGTTTAAAATAGCCCCCAAGTGTAGTGCTGAAGTGCTGCCTCGTGTTTCTAAGTGCAAAAAGGCAATTGTGTGTCTTTCAAAGAAAATCTATGTGTTAGATAAACTTTGTTCAGACATGAGTTATAGAGCTGTGAGATGTGAGTTCAATGTTAATGAATCAACAATATGTGTTAGATAAAGAGCATTTAAACAGAAACACACATAAAATAAGATTATGGTTTCTATTGATCAACTGATGCAAACACTGTGATCTGAGTCTGGCTCAGAGTAACCTAACCCTGTATTTCTCTGAGGAGCAATAATTCAGTATTTGCTAATTCAGTGTCAAATGTGACTTTACATACATAATTACCAAAACTAACGAGAACAAACTCTACATATAATCAAGAGAATTGAAAATACATTCATAAAAACCTGTAGATGAATTTTCATGGTAGCTTTATTCATAATCGCCAATAATTAGAAACAACCTAAATATCCATCAAAACATGAATGGATAAAGAAAATGTGGCAAACCAGTACAGTGGAATACTATTCAGCCATAAAAAATAATGACCTGATAACACACTGCAACCCAGATGAAACTTGCAAAGTGAAAGCCAGAAATAAAAGGCCACATATTATATGATTCCATTTATACAAAATTCCCAGAAGAAGCAAACTCTTAAACATAAAAAGTAGATCAGTGGTTGACAGGGGTGGGGGTGAGGGACAGGAGATGGGGAATGACTGCTAGAAGTTACGGAGTTTATTGTTGGGTGATGAAAATGTTCTAGAATTGGTGGTGATGGCTGTATAATACATTTAAAACCACTGAATTATATACTTTAAAGTGGTGAATTCTTTGGGATATGAATCATATGTCCATAAAAATTAAGTAAGGCATAAAGTTCTAGACATTAGACCAGAGGTTCTCAATTTGAATGTGCATCAGAATTCCCTGGAGAGGTTGGAAAATGCAGATTACTGTATCCCAGGCCCCCAAATTTGGAGCGTGAAGGTCTGGATTGGGGCTTAAGAATCTGCTTTTCTGAAAGGTCCTCAGTGATGCTGACACTGCCGGTCTGACACACGTTTTGAGAGCCACTCACTGCAGCAAAGGCAAGGTCTGAGCTCCTAGAGGGTAGGAAAGGCAGCTTTCATCTCCATATCTCCTAAGTCTGCCTTAAAAAGAGCCAACCTGGGGGGGGGGGGCGGTGGAGATAGGGAGGGATTAAAAAGGGAAAATGTTTGTTTATACATTCACAGGTTACTGATTTGTACATATAATCATTTTATTTAAATATTTGGGAGGTCCATGTGAAAATAGACAACTTAAAGTATACTTCTGGTGTTGTCACATGGAATAATTATTATTTTATAAATAATCATGATTATTTTGATTATTTTGAATCACTTCAGTATGTATCTCAATATATTATTTTAACCAAAAAGGAGATCACTAGTAATATTCTCTGAAAACCATGTCCTTTTTTCTCTTAGATCCTATGATTTAGGTATCATTCCTCAATATCAGAAAAACAAAAGGGCATGAGGGAAGGAGAAAGACACAAAGGCAGGCGAGAGAAGCACAGCATCCAGTACTTTTTAAAACAGCGGTCAGTGCTGTGGTGTAGTGGAAAAGTTGCCACCTGCAGTGCCCACATCCCATATGAGTGCTGGTTTGAGTCCCAGTTGCTCCACTTCCAATCCAGCTCTCTGCTACGGCCTGGGAAAGCAGTGGGAGCGCTGGCCCAACACTTTGGGCCACTTGCACCAGTGTGGGAGACACAGAAGAAGCTCCTAGCTCCAGGTTTCAGATTGGTGCAGCTCCAGCCATTGCAGCCATCTGGGGAGTGAATCAGCAGACGGAAGACCTCTCTCTCTCTCTGCCTCTGTCTCTCTGTAACTCTGCCTTTCAAATAAAATAAATATATCTTTTTTTTTAAAAAAAAAAAAAAAGGAAAAAAAACCTGCTGATTAACAAACTTTTCCCCCTCTAGTCCAAAGTGTAATTCTATATTTTGTTATATTTATTAACAGATCAAAGTTGTGTCTATTTATCTTTTAATGTTAAATAAAACAGCTATGAATGAGTCATCTATGGTCTAAAGGAGACAGCAGAACAATGCTTCAGCAAATTTTTCTCTCAGTATAGTCAACAGTTTACTAATTTGGAAGCACAAGATCAGAAAAACTAGTCACAGGAAAGTTCTGCAGACAATATTCCCTATTGTATTTTAATGCTTCTGCAGCACAAACTGTTCGATGTTCACTGAAAATTTCAGACCAGAACACTATATGCTCAGGACATGGCCCAGGACAGGGAAGTGGGGAATAACTGACGTGTACTCACCAGCTAGATTAACCCTGAACTAGACACTTCATCCAGACATTACAGTCTCCTATCTATAAAATCTAAACATTAGACAAGATGATCTCACAGGCTCTGAACTCAGTTTTTATGACAGTAACTGTAAATAGATCAAATAAATCCCTGTTTTACTACTGAAATTTGGATTATTGAAGAAAAGACTATAGATTGAGTTGAGTTACTGAGTCTGCAGCAAGGAAAACTGGAGCGAAACCAAAATCATCATGAGATGCTGAAATTCCAGGAATCTGGAACTTTGTCTCAGTCTTGTATACTCCTCCCTCTGACAATAATGGTTCCTAATCTTATAGCTTTTTTCTTACTAATTTCTTGCTGAAACTCTACCTCCAAACCCTGCAATTCTGACTGAAGACAATTTTATGATGGTACCCGTCTTCCACAGTCACACATCTAAGAATCTGCTCTTCACCCTTATCAAGACCTTCAGCTCTAGAGTCTTTCCATGCCCCTTGCTAACTTCACTTGCTCGGCACTGATTTCCTCCACCAGCATGCTAGCCTGTGAAAGATCTCCCCTAAACTTGCTCTGCCTGCCCTTTTCTTTTTCTTCCTGCCAAGTTTGGTAGTTACCAAGAGTGACCACACAGGGAAGCAGAGAACTAAGGCAAATGCACGTTCTCGCCTCTGGAGGGCTCTCAGTGCTGCTGTGATTCAGTTCTCTCCCAGTTCTCCACTGGAACTGGACACAGGGATTGCTGAAAATCTCCCCCATGCTCCCTCCCTCCACCCTCCCCACAGATAATGCTGCCTTTTTTGTGGAAAAGAAGTAAACTCTTGGACCACGAGTCCTTCAAACACTACCATCTCTACCTCAAGCTTTTTCTGAAACTTGTCCCTTACATCTCAGGACTATCTACTTAAATACTACATCTTTGCTACAAAGTAAAGTAGCTACAAGCCACATGCGACTATTTGGTTTTGAATTAATTCACATTAAATAAAATTAAAAGGTTACTGCTCTAGCTGCATTGGGCACAATCCAAGTTCCCAGCAGTGACACGTGATCCGTGGCTCTGTGGCCCTGTGGCTCCTGGCTCCTGCCCTGGCTCTTACAGATGGAGACCACCACCATCACTGCAGACAGTTCTCCTGAACAGCACTGCTCGAGAGCTTTACTACCTACCATGTCCTTCACTCTGTCTCCCTCATCCTCAAGTTCATCT